TCTCAAATAAATAAATCTTTAAAAAAAATAACAGATGAATGTATGGTCAACTCCTCTATGACAAGGGTGCCAGGTATACACAATGGGGAAAGGATAGTCTTTTCAGTAAACGGTTCTGGGAAACCTGGATATCTGCTTGTAGAAGAATGAAATTGGACCCCCATCGTACACCACTTACAGAAATCAACTCAAAATGGATTAAGACCTGGTATCATAAAACTCCTAGAAGAAAACAGGAAAAAGACTCCTTGACAATGAATATGACACTAAAAACACAAGCACAAAAGCAAAAATTATAACTGGGATTACATCAAACTGAAAAGCTTCTGCACAGCAAAAGAGTGCGAGAAGGCATCTTACAGAATGAGAACGTACTTACAAATCATGTATCTGGTAAGGGGCTAGTATCTAAAATATGTAAGGAACTCAACTCAATAGCAAAAACAAAAGACCCCTCAATTAATCCAATTTAAAATATGTAAAGAATCTGAATAGATGTATTTCCAGGGAAGTCATACAAATTGCCAACAGATATATGAAAAGGTACACAGCATCACTAGTCATCAGGGAAATGCAAATCAAAACCACAATGAGATATTGCCTCACACCTGTCAGGATGGCTATTTTCAAAAAGACAGTAGGTAACAATTGTTGGCCAGGACGTGGGGAGAAAGGGAAACCTTGTATATTGCTGGTGGGAATACACACTGGTAAAGCCATTATAGAAAATTGTGTGGAAGTTACTGAAAAAATTAAAAGTAGAACTACCATATGATCCTGCAATCCCACTTCTGGGTATAGATCTGAAGAAATGAAGTCACTCTCTTGAAGAGATATCTGTACCCCCTTGTTCCTTGCAACATTATTCACAATAGCCAAGATATGGAAACCAGCTAAGTGTTAACACTTTAATGAATAAAGAAAATGTGGTAAATATATACAGTGGAATACTATTCAGCCATAAAAACAAGGAGATCTTGCCGTTTGTGACAACGTGAATGAACATGGAGGTCATCATGCTAAGTGAAATAAGCCAGAGGGAGAAAGGCAAATACTCTATGATGTCTGGGGGGGAAAAAACGTCCATAGAAGCAGAGAGGGGAATGGTAGCTGCCAGAGGCGCAGGTTAAGGAGAAGCATGCGATCATCCCCGGAGATGGAAGAAGGCATTTCTTAAGATTCAAAATCTGTTAGTGCCTTTGGATAATAGGAAGATAGGTTAAAAGTGGATTCGTTGAATTTGACAAAGAATATCTATTTAAAAAGCAACAGCAAGTATTTCTAATAGTGATGTGTTGAATGTTTTCTTTTTGAGATGGAGAACAACAGAATATCAATTATCACCACTTATTTCCAGTGTCTCCTGGAGGGCTTAGTGCAGTGTGGGGGTAAGACATCAGGAAGGAAAAGAAGGAGAAGCATGGAGTGAGGGTAAGGAAGAGCAGAAGGGGCAAAAGAAATAATGAAAAGAGAGAAAGGAAAGCAGCAGGATGGAAGAAGTGTGCCTCGTGTGGTAAAATCGGAATTTCTGCAGATGGGACCCAGTGTCATCTTTTGCTCCTCCAAGTGAGTTCAATGTGCAGTCACATTTAAGAGTTAGTTCCCTGTCCACTTTTTGTAAATATTTTTGGAGGTGTTACGGTAATAGTACAGTAGCTTTATTTTTTCATTTGAAGAAAATTCATTCATCTCAAAACAAGGTTTCCCGAAGTAAATTTTGGCTTTTTTGAGTTGGTACCAACTTAAGGTAGGCTTCCATAATAGATGCTCAGAGCTGAATGATTATTCTGATTTTTCAGTGTCATTCCATATGGGTGTTTCATAAAAGGTGATGTGTCTTTTAACATTATTACTTTTGGTTAAACATTTGAACAGAACAATATGATCTTTTACGAAGAAGCCCTTGATATGAAATTATTGTTTGGGGCCAAATTACAGTTCTTCCCAAGGAATATGTCTGCTAAAACTTGGTTCCCATTTTGAGGTGGAAATTATTGTGTAATAGTGTTTGTGGTAATAATAATTTTTTTTTACCTGTGTTTAATGGCACTTAATTATTACTTTAAAGAGATGTCAGGATTTGAAAGGAAGAAATAAATCATTATTTATTGACAAAGTGACTATATGGCACATAATTGGAAATTAAAACTTACAAATTAAAATTGAGTTTCGTGAGTTAGCTAAATAAAAGTTATTTTTCTATACCAGCAATAGTTAGAAAGTGAAATTTAGAGAAATTCCCATTTGTGCTGACATAATAATACCAAACATCAAATAGAGATGGATCTAACAAAAAATAAGTCCATTATACTCCAAACCTTTTAAACATTGAGAGAAACTTAAAAAGAAATGAATGAAAAGATATATATCAGTTTCATGGATTAGAAGACTCAATATTGTAAACACATTACTTCTCCCCAGATGGATTTATAGATTCATTGTGGTCCCAGTTAAAATTGTAACAGTATTTTATGGGCATTGACAAGCTGATTATGTAGTATTCGTGGCAACGCAAAGGCCAGGAAATACCAAGATACTGTCTGAGAGGAAGGAAATGGTTCTGTCAAGTGTCGGGACTAATTACGTAAACCCACAACTGTGGAAACACTGTGGCACTGGAAGAGGAGTACATTGAGCAATGGAGTAAAAGCATCTAGAGGCACGCCCGCCTCGACTGACAAGAACAGTCTGACTGCTGAGCGGTGAGGACAGAATGGTCTTTAAAACAAAAAGAGAGAGTTGGGGGACCTGGGTGGCACAGTCGGAAAAGGTTGTGAGCTCAGGGTCCTGGGATCCAGCCCTGAGGTGGGCTCTGCGCTTGGTGGGGAGTAAATTGGTAAGTATTGTTCACTAGAAGACTAATCGAGCAAATAGGCAAATTGCAGTGTGAGAGAAGATATTTATAATACGTGTAAGCAGCGAAATGTTCTTATCCAGCACACATACAGAACTCCTGTCAATCAAAAAGGAAAGCATGACACCTCTACAGAAAAACAGGCAAGGGACGTGGACAGGATTAACGTGGACATTAATCCAGATGAACCCAAGAGGTGCTCAGTTTAATTTGTTCCCAGGGAGATGCAAACGAAAAGCACAGAGATATCACTGAGTGCCTGTCAGGACGGCTAATATAAAAAACAGAAAAAGATAGGTATTGGTGAGGATGCGGAGAAAGGGGAGCCCTCGTGCGCTCTTGGTGGGAATGCAAGCTGGTGCTGCCACTCTGGAGAAAACAGTATGGAGGTTCCTCGGGAAGTTAAAAGCAGAGCTACCCTCTGATCCAGTAATCCTTCTGGGTGCATAGCCACGGGGCATGACATCAGTATCGCAGAGATGTCTGCACCCTCGCGTTCGCTGCGGCACCCCTCACGGTAGCCGGGATATGGAAACAGCTTACATGTTCCGTGGGTGGATGAATGAAATGTGGCAGCTACTTACAAGGGCATAGTGTTTATCCTCGAAAAAGACAGTCCTGCCGTTTGGGAACAACGTGGTTGAACCTTGAGGACATTATGCTAAGTGAGATCAGTCGGTCCCAAAAAGACAAACACTGCTGACGCTGACAGGGCCCCAGGCCCCCAGGAACTCATGGAAGCAGAGCGGAAGGGCGGGGGGGTGCCGGTCAAGGGATGGAGTTTCAGTTGTGCGGGGTGGTTGAGCTGTCGAGACTGCCGCACAGCACCAAGCCTGCAGACCTGGTGCCGTACCTCACACCTAAAATTTTGCTGAGAGGGTTGACCGTGTGTTGAGTGTTCCCACCACAATAAAACAAACAACGAAATCACGTTAGGTGCTATTACAGTCCCCAGGACGACGTGGGGGAGCGGGAGCACAGAGGCCACCCTGGGGGCGGCGTGGGTACCCTCTCCTATAGGCTGCAGCCCCCCTGACCCAGCAGCCCCGTGTGGGGTGTATGCCCAGCAGATGTGCCCAGGCACGCTCACGTGCGTGCGTCAGTCGTGTCCCAGACGGGCAGCGAGCAGGTCATACCAGCACCTCGATGGCTCGAGAGGCGTGGGAGCGGCAGGGAGTGAAACTATGCAGACGCGCAACGTGGGTGCGCCTCCCGGATCCGGTGGAGGACGCGGTGGTGAGAGAGAAGCCAGACAGGAAAGAAGAAACACGGGCCCGTTGACGCGGTATTCGGAATCAGGCGGAACTGAGCTGTGGTGTTTAGAGCACGTGTTTACGTGGCGATGCTGTAAAGAAAACCAGATGTGGAGTTCTGTGACCTGCTCGGGGAGGGGCAACGTGAGTCCGGGGCAGGGGATCTCCGCGCTCTCCCTCCCCACTTGATCTTTGTAAGCTACTCCTTTTTTGTTTTAGGTAGTTTTAAGTAAAGTAGGTTCAAAGGACTAATTGGTTTGGGAAACAGGACCTCCTCCGTCCTCTGGATGTTCCCAGGCTCGGGGAGGTCCTGGGCCGGAGGCCGCAGAGCCGTGTTCCATCGGCTGGTTCCCAGGGTTCCTCCCGATGATCCCTTCCCAGCCCCTAGTAGGGCGCTGGCGTTGTGTGCTTCTGACCTCATCACAGCCTGTTCGTGGGACGTTCCTGCTCACTCTGGGGCAGGGGAGTGTGTGGGCCTCACTGTGCAGACACTTTGCTTTGATTAGTTCATTTTATGACGCTGTGGGATGGGCCAGTGGAAAGGATAGCAGAGCCGTGTTTCACGTAGCTCCCCTAGCAGGTGGGGGCTCGGAGAAGCGGGTTATGCCTGATGGCCAAGTGCTGCAGGAAAAGCGAAGGGAAGGGGGTGGGCATGCCTATGCCGCCGAGGGGACAGTGGTGGGACGGAGGCCTGAAGAGAGAAGCCAGGCTGCTGCGGGACCTCGGAAGGCATCTCAGGCAGGGGCAGCCCCTGTGTGGTGCATTGGAGACAAGGGCGGAAAGCCAGTGTGCGGGGCCTGCAGGTCGTAGAAGGCATCTTTCTGGCCAGAGACGTGCCAGGTAAATAGGACCACAGTAGGCTGGTACAGAGGCATTTCTCCTGTTTCTTCTAGATACCGCGCCCTGTAAAGACCAGCTGTCCTTAAAGGAAAAGTCCAGCTTCCCAGCAAGTCCGCAGCCTCTGAGCCAAGCAGGCCCCAGGGACATCCCTGGTGGTGCCCCAGCCCCTTTGGTGCCACCCTCCCCTCCTGTGACTGCTCTGCCCCAGGACACGGCTGCAGCAGCTGCCAGCCCCAAGTCAGAGCCAGCAATGGGGACTGCTGTGCAGGCAGGGGGTCCAGGGACCTCTCAGGGGACAGCCAGTGAGCGCGAGACCCCCCAGCCACTGGCAGAGACTCGAGACACCCAGCTTGCTGCACAGCCTCTGGGTGCGGGCGGAGGGCCTTGTGCCCCACCTCTGGAGGCCCCCCGCTACCCCACAGGTTTGGGAGAGCCTGCCTCAGCCAGGGAGGCCACTGCCCAGGGCGAGCCCTTGCGGGCTCCGGCCCCTGCACCCAGTGCCCCCAGTGGGACCCCTCAGCCTGCCCTGGGCCAGCCCCTACCCCCGCTCCCCCCTGTGGTGGGGGCCATCAGCTTAGCCACCCCCCAGCTCCCCAGCCCGCCCCTGGGGCCCACCGTGCCCCCCCAGCCACCCTCTGCCTTGGAGTCAGATGGGGAGGGGCCGCCCCCCAGGGTGGGCTTTGTGGACAGCACCATCAAGAGCCTGGACGAGAAGCTCCGAACTCTGCTTTACCAGGAGCACATGCCCACCTCCTCAGCCTCGGCTGGGACCCCTGTGGAGGTGGGGGACCGAGACTTGACCCTGGAGCCCCAGCCTGTGGTGAGTCCTGGCCCCCCCCGGGGTGGCGGGCTCCCTAGGCACGCAGAGCTGCCGCTCTTGGCCCTGACTGTCCCATTCTCAGAGGCCCACCCCGTGCGTGTGTTGCCAGAGTGGCTCATTTGGGGAACTGGGATGTGTGTGCAGGGTTGCGACCTGGCCTGGATGGGCTCTGCTTGGGGCGGCCTGGAGAGGAGCCCGGCTTTCATACAGGAGATCCGTTGGTGAGGTGTAGGTTAAAGCCTGCAGAGGTCAGCAGGCGAGACTCGTGGCCCTTTCTGTTTCTTCCTCCAGCTGGGAAAGTCAGAAACAGCTCCGGGGCTGGGGGCTGCGCTGGACCAGGCTGGGTCCTCGCCAGTGACAGGTAATGAGCCCCAGGTCACCCGTCAGAACCCCAGTGCTCACCAGGTGCCACCAGCCTTCCTTGCTCCGGAACATGCTGCATCTCCATAGCATCTTGGGTGGGACTCAGACATAGCAGGAGCCCGTTGTGAGGTGTAGGTTAAAGCCCACTGTGTCCTAACAAACCGTGACATGCTCATGCCCCAAGGTGAGAAAGTTCTCCGTAGAAGTGGGTGAAAGCCTGGATGGCTGGGTGTCGGGGTGTGATCAGGGCTGTCAGCTGCCGTGCTCTCAAAGCGCTCTGGCAGATACCCCTAGCCCCCTGTTATTGAGAAGGTTACAAGGTGTTGAAGGCCCTTTTGGCAGAGCGCAGGGCTGGGGCTGGGGGCTTCCCGCAGGTCTGTGGAAATGGTCAGGCTGGGGCCATCGAGTTCCTGAATCGGGGCTTCCTCTGAGGGTCCCCTCTCTGTGGGAACACCTGTGTCTCAGCCCAAGGGCACTGGTCTGATCTTCTAAGGTGTGGGGTTTCTTCTTGGCCTGCAAGTCCTTGGGAGATCAGCAAGACAGGGATCCAACTGACCTCTTGAGGCCCCTGGGTGTGTGTCTGAGGCAGATGAGGCCCATGTGCAGTGAGGGGAGTGGCCTGCGGGATCCGGTCAGACCCCTGGATGCCGCATGCTTGGGTGTCACACCGTAGAGGGAGGGGGACAGCCAGCAGTGGGGTCGGAAGCTGTAACATGTGCCGTTTCCCTGGGAAAGTGAGGGTCAGGTGGTAAAGCAGGAACGTGCTGGAAGGTACGAGGGGTGCCTGCTTCATCTTCTGACTTCGGTGCACCAGAAATGCACTCTGGGCCCCTCCTGCAGCACCGGGGACGTCGGTGCTGTAGCCACTCCCAAATCCACTCCTCCCGGAGTGCCGGAATGTGGGGCAGCTCTAAGGAAACAGATTCTAGTTTGGAAAAGGTAAACGTTTCTGGAGGTCGGAGCTGTCCAGAAAGAGGGGGGGTGTAGTTGACCGTGAACCCCCCTGTCCCTGGAGCTGTACAAAGACAGGTTGGCTGGTCCCCACTGCCGGGAGTAGGTAAGGATGGGCGTCAGGCATTGCCTGTGGGTGAGGGGTGTGTGCCACTTGGGTCTCGGTCTGCCCAGGAATTTGTGCAGGGACAGCCCCCAAACCTTGCCGGAGGCTGTCACCCCTGCTCCAAGCATGTCCGTCTGGCCGCGGGCTGACACGCAGCCCCTGCCTGCCCGTGGCTGTCGTTTGCTGTGTGCGGGTCTCAGCTCACCCAGTTTCCCACACGTCAGCTCCTTCTGCTCTGTCACTCAGCAGTCCTGGGAAAGGGGGTCAGAAGTACCCCGCCGTGTCTACACTCTGTAGATGGGGAGGCAGAGACAGCCTCAGATGACAGGGTCCTTCCCCAGACACTGGAGCAGCAGGGTGAGGAACTGGTGCTGTTGATGCAGGACCTCCTGAGCCCCTTTTATCCGCAGAGATGTCATGTCAGGGAGGCCCTCAGGTGAGACAGGGCGGAGGTGTCAGGTATGTAGAGATGACCTGTGACGCAGATGGCCCCGATCAGGGGTTAGAAGGGATAGGTGATGGCCATCGGATGTGTAGAGGGCGTGGCAGTACCCGAGGTTCTCGAGCAGGTGCCTCCGGGGACCTGAGTAGTGATGGGCTGAACCCTCCTTTCCCCAAGTTATTGGGGGTCTCCTAAGATAAAAGGGGGCATAGCACATCCTGGAGTGTTTTTAGTTTTCCTAGTTGCTGAGCACAGACACTGCAGGCTCCCCTTGGGCGGGGGGCGGCCTGCCGTCTCACTGATCGGATTCAGCTCGAGGGCACCTCTTCCTGCCCTTGTCCCCCACACTGACCCGAGTAATGATTTTGACCTTCCTACAGCAGAATCATCTTTGAGCCAAGTGACAGCCTCAGGCTTGCCCACAGCTCCCAGTGCTCCCCAGGTAAGGAGTGTTCTCTGGGACGCCCAGCTGGGCGGTGGGCTTTCCTCCCTGCTGGTGCGTGGTGAGAGCTTTCCCTTTCCACGCCTTCTCAAGGATGTCCCTGCGCCTGCCTTCCCTGCACATCTGGAGCCCGCAGACCGCAGCGGTGGGCTCCCTGGGGAGCCCTCAGCCCAGCCCACACCGAGCAGCCTGGGGACATTGACAGAAGACGGCCAGACCGGCCACCCCCAGGTGCAGGGCATTCTCACCTCAGAGCCCCCCCGGAAACATCCAGGGCAGCAGGACAGCAGCTCGCCAGCCAAAACCGTGGGCCGGTTCTCGGTGGTCAGCACGCAGGACGAGTGGACCCTGGGCCCCCCCCACAGCCTGCGGTACTCGGCACCCCCGGACGTGTACCTGAAGGAGGCCCCCCACAGCCCCGACGTGAAGCTGGCTGTGCGGCGGGCGCAGACAGCCTCGTCCATCGAGGTCGGCGCGGGTGAGCCGGTGTCCAGCGACTCTGGGGATGAGTGTCCGCGCAGGAGGCCCCCCGTGCAGAAGCACGCCTCCCTGCCCAGCGGCGGCGGCGTGGCCAGCGACTTGGTGAAGAAGGCCACCGCCTTCCTGCACAGGTCCTCGCGGGCCGGCTCCCCGGGGCCGGAGACGCCCAGCAGGGTGGGCGTGAAGGTGCCCACCATCAGCGTGACCTCCTTCCACTCCCAGTCATCCTACATCAGCAGCGACAACGACTCGGAGATTGAGGATGCAGACATCAGGAAGGAGCTGCAGAGTCTTCGGGAGAAGTAGGTCCTGAGAAGCAGGCACCGGGGGCGGCTCGGGGAAGTGTCCGCCGCTGAAGCCGGGTATCCCACTGTGTCCACCTGGGGCTGCCTGTGCTGGGGACAGGGCAGAGGCGAGAGCCCCGCGCGGCGTGATCTGGCCCCTGGTCTCTCGTGGTGGCCCTCGGTGGGCTGGCACTCTCCCCTAGCAAGTGTGGCCTGCCCCGCTGTGTTGGGGACGCTGTGCAGAAGTGCTGTTACTGCTTTCCCCCCGCTCCGGCCCTGCACTCCAGCCTCCCTCCACCCTGTCCCAGCCACTGTGTCAGGACCAGCCCTAGGGCGCTTGCCAGGTGCTCGTAACCCCCTCCTCCTGGCGTCCCGGGCAGTCAGCCGCTGAGCCCTGGCATAGAGCAGGCACTGGACTCGGAGGCAGGAGGTGCTCAGTCCAGGGATGGGTGTCCTTGGGGGGCGTCGGGGGGTGAGGGGCTCATCTGTACACTCTCACTCCGGGGGTGGTCGCCCTGGGAGCCTGCGGTCCACAGCAACAAGGGGGGGGGGCGGCCAAGAGAGGCGCTGGGGAGGGCTGGGGGAGGGGCTGGGGGCAGCTGCCGCCGGCTCCCAGGGCGCAGGGCCCGGAGGTGGGGGTGGGACCAGATCCAGAGTTGCATCAAAGGAAAGGTTTGTGGGGGGCGGGTCTGAGGAAGCAGGGCTGTCAGCAATAAGTCCAGGCTCTTGCCTGCTGGAGGGGCATGGATCCCAGTGGAAAGGGGAGACCATTTAGGAGGGGGCAGGGAGAGCCTGTACCTGAATTGAGGGGAGCTGATGGCACCTGATAGAAGGTAGCCTTGCTTGCTCAGACCCTGTGGGCACCGTGGGGGACACTGGTGCCCGGCCCCGGGCTGGGGGGCACTTGTGGTTCTTAGAGCCCCAGGAACCCTGCGCTTTGAGATGCCTGCCGCAGCCCCACAGACAGGAGCCTCCGAGTGGGGGTCTCCCCTAGGTCCTCCTGAGTCAAGTGCTCTGGGTGACCCGCCATCCCTCTCCCCCTCAGCAATTTCACCTCAAAATATCACCCCATCAGAGGCGAATCTGATGCAAAAGGCAATCTGCTGTTTAGAATCATCTTCCTAAAGTCTGGCAGGCATTGAGGATAGCAGAGTGAAATCAGAATTTCCTTCCTGTGGTCCAGCCACGAGAAACCCCTGTTTCCCAACCACGCACTGAGAAGATGGGCCCCGGGTGTGGCTAAGGGGCTGAGCCCCCTGACCAGGGCAGCCAGGCCCATCAGACACATCTGAGGGGCTGGCATCAGGCCCAGGGTTTTTAGGCGGGCGAGTGGGCAGGTGAGCATGGTGGCTGTCGGCTGGGCCAGTGGGTCCCCTTCTCTGGCTCGTTCTAGCAACTTCCCTCGCCCACAGTCAGTAATTGCACCTGGGTCTTCATAGCCATGTAGCCAGGGGGTGGTATTGCCTGTGCCGAGTGCCACCCTGGCAGGACCCTGGCTGATACTTGCTCACGGGGGCGTGGCCTCATCTGCGATGCCTCTCTCCTGTGGTTCCCTCGCTCAGAGGAAGGACGCTTTGCTGGAAGGGCTGAGGCAGCCTTCCAGTTCTGGTTGGTTTTCTCTTCACTGGGGTTTGTAGGGTGTGTATTGTGAGCGTAGATGTGAACTCCCCAACCACTAAAAGCGGCAGCGTCATGAGAACTTGAATCTCCTGAGGCTCTTCCTCTTGCTCTCAGTGTCGTCAGGTGTGTGTATGCAGGAGACCCCCAGCGGGGCCCTCTTGGTGCAGATAAAGACTGCAAGTCTTGAATGCACCTGTTGCCTCTGAGCCGTCCTGGCCCATCGGCCCTGCGGCTGTGCACCCCGCCCCTCACGCCCTGCCTGCCTGCCCAGGGCTCTGGTGGACAGCCTCTGTGTTGGGAATGACCAGGATGCCCACCACTCTCCCTTCCCTCCTGCAGGCACCTGAAGGAGATCTCGGAGCTGCAAAGCCAGCAAAAGCAGGAGATCGAGGCTCTGTACCGCCGCCTGGGCAAGCCGCTGCCCCCCAACCTGGGCCTCTTCCACACGGCCCCTCCCGCCGGCCGCAGGAGAAAGAGCAAGAGCAAGCTGAAGGCAGGGAAGCTGCTCAACCCGCTGGTGCAGCAGCTCAAGGTCGTGGCCTCCAGCACAGGTCTGTGCCCTCCCGGCTGTCTGCTGGGCTGGGGCTAGCACCAGAGCTGCGCGGGCGGCGGGGCAGGCGCCCACCCCTGGAAGAGCACTTCTTGGATCTCCCTTCATGGGGGCCGGGAAGCCTTTGCAGGTGTGACGGTCCAGGCTGTCGGCCCCTCGTGAGTTGGGGCTGCTCGCAGCTCTCAGCCGCCTGGGGGCTGCCCGGTGCGAGGGAGGCGGCGGCTCAGGCCTCTCGCCTGCCTGCCCCCTGCAGGGCGCTGCCTGGGTCTGGGCTGCTTCCTCTGGCCATTTTTCAGGCACCTGTCACCTGCTGAAAGTGGGGAGTAGAGCAGATGCCTTTCTGGGACGGGGGCTGGGGGTGCACAGAGGGTGCACGCTGACCCCCGCACTCTGCGGCGGAGACCGAATGAGCTGGAATCCCCCAGCGTGCCGGGTGGGAAGCCGGCTGCAAGCTGCCCTTTCGGTGTCACGGGGATCCCGCAGGGTACGCGTCCGGGAACTGCAGGTTACACAGATTATGTGATTTCCAGGAGGATTCCTAAAGCAAACTGGAAACTAGTTAGAGTGAGCAGGTCCGTCACAGGCCTCCTGAACCCAGGTGTGCCTCTCCAGACATGCTGCCGTCCTAGCACCGCAGTGGCACACCATACGCCTGGCACGGCGTGGGCAACCGGTCTCGAATTTCCTGACACCTGCACTCAGGCTGCCAGGCCACGTGCCCTTTGCCTGCAGGGACTCCGCTTCCCCAAGGTCACCCAGCAACGAGCAGGGAGGACAGACGCACTCCGCGCTGGCTGGTCTGACCCGCAGCGCCTCACTGTGCCTGTCACCCCTTCTCCCCCCCTCCCCCAGGTCACTTGTCAGAATGCAGCAGAGCCCCTCCTGCTAAGGACCCTGCCCAAGCCGGGGCAGGGCCCGCGGCAGCTTCAGACCCGTGTGGGAAGGCAGTTCAGACCCAGCAGCCTTGCTCCATGCGGGCCTCCCTGTCTGCAGACATCTGCTCCGGCTTAGCCACTGACGGAGGCGGAGCGCACGGCCCAGGTGATTCCCAGCTTGCCCGTCTCCGAGCATGTGCTAGCCGCGCAGGGCCCCCGTGGAGTGAGGGGGCGAGAGCAGCTGCAGAGGCTGCCCACAGCATCGGGAGGAAAAACCGGTAGATGTAGCCTCTGAATAAAGAGAGTGGGTGGCCCACCCGTCCCCGAGTCTGGCTGTGTGTGGGTCTGAGGGAGGCGTGCTTTGCTAGAGCCGCCCCGGGGAAGGCGCCAGGACCGCCTGGCAGACGAGGCGTCGGCCGTGTGCTCTGCGCCGGTCCCCAGGCGCTGGCCCGGCTGCCCGCTAAACACGGGGCCTTGTGTCCGGAGGGACGGCTAGGGGGTGTGAGGGCTCGGCTCCCGAGCTGGGGGTTTGCCTTGAGGAGGAAGTGTTCGTCACCTCGTCCGTGGGCGCAGCAGCCGCGCGAGGAGGGGCTCCATCCCCACCATCTCTGTCCAGAGAAGTCGTGGGGACCGCTGACGGCGCCCGCCCCCGCCCGCCCCGCACGCCCTCCCAGGGTCCGCTTCTCCTGTGCTCCAGCGGTGCCTCCTCTCCATTACGTGGTCGGCGGCTGTGGTCCTCCGGGCTGGGCTAGGTGCAGCCGTGGATGCTAAGTGACGAGGCTGATGTGGCTGGTGGTGTGTAGCACGAATCCAGAGACTGTACTTGATGCCTGTCTCTTTGTTTTCTTCCCTCTATATTCATTTGCAGGCTGGACGGTTTACCACCCAACGTCTGAGAGACTGACCTATAAGTCTAGTAGCAAACCTCGCGCTCGATTCCTCAGTGGACCCGTGTCTGTGTCCATCTGTCTGTATTTGTTCTTCGTATTTTATCACCTCCTGGCCCTCCCTGTCTTCATCACCTTCCGCACATTCTGTAGGATGCCTCCCCTGCCCACTGCAGCCACCTGTTTAACACCAAGCGCAGAGCCCTGCCCACACCTGCCCTCCTGGCCCAGAATGGCCGGCGCATGCACTCAGCTCACACCCGGGGCCAGAAGCATGTGCAGCGGCTCGCCCGCCCCCCGCCCCAGGCGCCCCCCCCCCCCCCCCCAGGCCCCCAAAGCGCTCTGCGGTTTTCTCCTCACCCATTTGTTTAATTTTGTATTTTTTACGTTGGACGTAGTTTTATTTCTGTTGCAATTGTGGCGCATACACACGTCCACTGTCCCCAGTTCCAGTGACAAAGACAGCCCCGGCCTTCTCTAGACGCATGGTGTGTCTCACACGCGTCTGGGTTCTGAAGACTTGCACGTAGCGAGCTGAGACAGTTCTAGAAGGTCACTGGAGGGTGTGACTTCTGTACAAGGGCCGCAGCACTCAGCACCGTTACCCCACGCCCGCTCCCTGCATGTGGAAAGGCTGAGAGAAGGTGCTCCAGCTAGGACACCCCACCCCTCCCTGCGCTCTGGGCACCTGGGGAACCTCTCGGTGTCCTGGAAAGTCCCAGCCTCCACGCTGGCTCTCCCTCTGGCCCAGCCCCTCCTGGTCTCTAGCTGGAGCACTTTACTTGGTGAACCGCTCTCACCTCACAGACCTGACACGAAGTCAGTCACGCAGCTCCTCCGAGCTCTGCTCAACCAAACCTCAGCCCCGGTGGCCCTCAGATTCCTGGGATGTCCTGCTGGCACCCAGGATTCCTGTCCAGGAAGGGCGCACCTGCTCAGGGCCATCCAAAGTTATTTCCTCCCTCAGAACGATTGGAAAATGAATCCAAAGCTGTGGGGTTTTCAGGTTTTTGTTTAACACAAAAATTAAGCTTTGTTCAATTGGGTTGGAAATGCTGGTTTGGGGCACGTGGCTTTTTGCTGGTACAATAAAGATACATTGTGTTTGTCGGGACCTGAGGCCACGTCCGCAGTGGACATCCATCCCCATCAGAGGGGCCATGTCACCCTCCCCCAGGGAGCAGAGGTCAGAGGCACAGAACCACAGCGATTCCCAGGGACTGTCCAGTGGTCCTCGTCTCCTAACAGGTGTCCCAGCTGAGCTGCTGGTTAGCTGCTGAGCTGGGGGGAGGGGGGAGGTCTGAGCGCTTCCCGCTCCCTGGGTCACTCGCCGGTCCTGTTCTGCTGGAGAGCGCGTGGCTGTCTCCTGGGGACGATGGGGGGAGGGCACCTGGGTCTCCAGGCATCTCGCGGTCAGATGGGCGGTTGCATCGCTGCTGGGAACGGCTCTGGTCAGGCGCGGGAAGGGGCACAGGAAGGGGGTACTTAGAGCAGGTGGTGCTTTCCCTGGGGTGCGTGGGGTGAAGAGGTGCGAGCGGCCAGGCACCGTGTGCTCCTCTCAGGCCCCTGCTCCGCGTCTGTACCCGTGTGATTCTGCATTCTTGTTCAGGGGTCTTCGCTTGTTTTACTGTTGTTACTCCAAGATTAAAAAAAAAAAAAAAAAAAATGGGAGGCACCGCAGGGACAAGTGGTTTAGGCTTTACTTCTGTCTCTGTGGCCAAGAGGAAAGGAACGTGTAAGGCAGGGCTTGGTGGCAGCCGGGGCGCCTGGCCCGGGGGCGCTGAGTTTGGGTGGTGGTGTGTGCTGGCCTGGTGGCCTCGTCTGCTCCGGGGCTGTGCACCCCCTGACGTCGCCATTTCCATAAGGGCCCTTTGCAAGCACGACTCGGCCGAGCTCTTGGTTACCGTGGCCACAGCGTGGCCCCCCACGGGCTCTGAGGTTGCTGGTCAGGAAAGCATGCGGCAGATTGTGTCCCCTGCAGACGTGTGGCCTAAGGGTGCGTGAAGACGCACCCTCCAGGCCGTGTGCGCCGGGGTCTGCCCAGCCCGCAGCCTCTCCGGGAGCCAGTCGCCTGCTTTCCTGCTGACTGGGGAGAGCTCAAGAGGCCCGAGGGTGCGCAGGCACCCAGGAAAGCCTGGTCACAGCCCCAAGGGCCGAGACGTGGCAGAGAGAAGGGCATTCAGGGCAGGGCTGTGGGAGGACCCCGAGGTGGGCCCACTCTGGGGCCTGGGCATCCGGGATCCAGGCCAGCAGCAAGGGGGGGCTGTAGCCGCAGGGTGTGGGTGCAGTTGGTGCAGCCTGCAGCTAGAGAAGGCCAGAGGCCTTCTGTGCATGGCCTTGCACGGCTCCGGGAAAACAGTCTGTGTTAAGTTACAAGACTGTAACAGTTCTGTGATGTGCAGAGTCCCTGAGGGCACCCAGGCCGGGGTCAGAGACGAGCAGGGGTGGAGCCCCAGGCAGCTGCAGGCCGCCAGGAGGGGACCCCATGCAGGAAAGGCGGCCGGGCCTGGGAGGAAGAACGTGCAAAGGACAAAGCCTGGGTGCCTCCTTGGGGTGGGCACCCGGACAGGCCCACTGTTGGGAGGGCAGGGCCGGCCCCCACGGAGCTCAGACAGGGTGAGGCCCTGGGCACAGACCCCTCCTTGGGGCCGATGGGAGGGCTTAGGGCAACTTGGGGCCCACGTTTTGGGATTTGGGGGGCGCGGTGTCAGACACCCCCCCCCCCCCCCAGCTCCTGCCGAGACACAGGCGCCGACAGCTCCGGGGCGTCTGCACAGCGAGCCTCGGATGCACCTTCTCGCGCGCCGTCAGCCTGCCATCCGTGCGGCAGCGGCTCTGTCCCTGCGGCCCCTGGGAAGGCTGCCCAGGCCCTGCCCTCGCCCTGTGCTGTCCTGGACCCTCCCTGTGGGGACCTGCTGCGGTGGGCGTGGGAGACAGCCTTCGGACACCCAGGCTAGGCGGTCCTTGGGGCAGTCACGCAGGGCAGGGCAGGGCAGAGCAGGGACGCCTCCCATTTCGTGCTTCACGGACTCGTTTTGGCACTTCGCTCGGCTCTGGGAGGACTTGATGGCTTGTTACAAAGAAACCAGTGGCATTTTGGTGCTGGCAGCTTATATGGTGCCGGTGCCAGGACCGAGTGTCTAATACCACGGTGCAGGGTGAGCCCAACCGGCTGGAGGCGTGCCTCTCATCAAGGGGCGAGCGGGGAGGCCCCCGGCTGGTCTGCGCCAAGGCCACTGCCCCTGGAGCCCCTCGTGAGCCTCCTCAGTATTTGAAGGCTGTGGCAAGTGTGCTGAGGGCCCCGAGGCCCGGTCCACACCTCCAGCAGTCTGTCGGTGGCAGAGAACCTTGCATTTCTGGCATCTTCCTGGCAGCCAGGCGAGGGTCAGGATGGTGGCGGTGCCCGGCAGGGCTGGCCATCCACACCAGAAGCAGCTTGTGTGTCCCTTCCAGAGACCCCCCCGGCCCTTTCCCAGCTTGGGAGAACATTTCCCAACAGCTGGCCACATGGCTCTCCACCTGCACCCCTGCCCAGGTGGAGGCTTCCCCAGGTAGTTCTGGGCCTCAAGCCGGCTCTTCCCAAGGCCTTGGCTAAGGACAGAAGTCCTGCAGGGGAGACCTCCTGCCGCGTGAGGGTTTCTTGTGGGCCCCGTGCATCCCGGTGCCCTTGCACTGCTGCCTTGTAGCCCAGCGGCCCAGGCAGGAGTGCAGTGTATACGCCGGTGTGGAGGGAGCTGAGTGGGGCTCGGTGGAGGTGTATTCATCAGCCATCTGCGTGTGGGCATCAAGGGCAGGGCACAGGCACTAGGGAGGAGGTCCAGGGGCCCCCCCCCCCGAGGCTGGGCAGGGCTGTGGCATGAGTGAGGGCTTGTCACCAGACACATCCGTGCTCAGCTGCAGCTCTGCACTGCACGGGACAGCATGACCTTAGTGTGGAGTCAGTTTCTGATTAGAGGTTCACTGAGGGCAGGGAGTGTCTGTGCTCCCTGTGGGCCGTGCCCAGTGAGGGTGTGCAGACCTCTGTGGGCCAGTTGTTGCTCTCCAGCTGTGAGCATGGTGGCCGGTGGCCCCACCTCTGGGGCCCTTGACCACAGGCCCAGGCTTCTCTGGTGGTTCCCAGCAGGCAGCTCCCGTTGTTCATTGAGAGGATGGCGGGAATCAGCCCCGAAAGAACCCGCTGCTGTCAGGCTGCGGGGAGCTGGCTGGCTGGCTGGCTGATCCCATGTCCTTGGGCCGTCTGTATGGGACCTGCTGAGGCCACAGGGTCTGGATGGGCAAGTCTGTGCCTCACCTGGTGCCCTGCACAGTCAGAGCCTGGGACCCAAGTGCCACGGAGCCCCCAAAGGGCCCGGTGCTCCCAGTGGGATTCCATGTCAGGACACAGACCAGCAAAGGCCCTGCAGAGCTCCCACTGAGAGACGACTGGTCTGAACCACTCCTGCCTGGCCCCTTCGTCGTTATTTGCACATTACAGACCCCAACAGAACATCATCTCCCATTTGAACTAGAAGAACAATTCATTTGGAGCCTGGGCTGACCTTTGTCCTCTCTTCTCAAACACAGGGGTGACAACCCGCCTTCCCTGGCAAGGGTGCAAGGCAACTCCTCAGGGAGTGTGGGGGGGTGGGGGGCGTCCTGCTCAGGTGAGGGGCTGGGGCAGGAGCGCCCACCCTTTCTGACCCTCTCTGATAGCACAGCCTTGCTGAGTGACCTTGGGGACGCCCGAACTGTGCCTGCCCGGCTCCCTGAAGGGCCAGCTCGTCTGCCCTCCAGGTGGGCACTGACCGTCAGGATGTGCCGGGCGGCACAGACAGCCTGCAGGACCGCAGGGCCTGATGCTTAGTGGAGGCAGAGTGACGAGCCTCTGCCTGTCCCAGTGGACTCGGGATACCAGATGAGGCAGCAGCAGTGCAGGAAATTGGGGCCAGCCCTGCTTTCCACCTCCCCAGATAGGACCCCTGTACTTTCCCCTTGACGTGCACCACTGGTCTGGTCATGGCAGCCGCCTGGGATCTGGGATTGGCCTCAAACCTGCAAAACAATGTATCTTTTTGCACTTGGAAAACAAATCTCCCATGGGCCTATGGGGCAGGCAGAGCCGGAGGGCTCCACTGAGCTCTCCTGGCTGACTTTTAGTGTGTTTTTTGCCTCAATCAGTGGGGCTCCAGAAGCCTTTTGTTTGAAAACCAACTGGTGTGCTTTGCTTTTTTGTTTTTTGTTTTTTGTTTTTTTTTTCTTTTTTTCTTTTTTGAATACGCTTTTAGAGACACACTCACTTCTACCTGAAGCTTGGGGCCTGGCCCTGCACCTCCGCCCCTCGGCGAAGCTCACGTGAACCCGCACACTGACTCGGGGCCGCCCAGTTAGCCCAGGTGGCTGGTCCCCTCTCTGAAGCGCTGGCCTTTGCTCTTCCTTGCACACTGATGACTTGTGCTTAGAGTGTGGTGGCTTGTCCCCCGTGTGTGCTGTCCTGCCTAACCCTGTGGTCTTGTGTCGTTTCTTCTTCCCTTGCAGGGTCTGCCCTGAAGCGTCTCTGTCTAGGCAAAGAGCACAGCAGTCGTAATTATCGGGTTTTTTACCCCTTGTCTGCTCTCCATCGCATGGGCTTTCATGTGGCTAGTGCACATCAGGGTCTCTGCGGCCGGCGGGCGCGCGTCTGCTCCGCGCCCACCCTCCAAGGGCACCGCTTTGCCTCTGCCTGGAGGGAAAGCCACCCGCGGGTGCCCCTCGCGTCTCCATGGCTCCTAGAGTCTGTGTGTCCTGGCCGGTTGACACGCTGACACTCCCCTTCCCCGGAACGTCCACACATTGCCAACTGTTAATTGGCTCCTTTTCCAAAACCGTAGGAATGAGTATGTCCTTGAAGTGCTAAAGATGAGTGCCCCCGAGGAGAGATGCCGGGATGAAATGGGTATCAGTCCACCTAGGCCGCCCACCACCCTCACCTCACACCTTTTTTTTTTTTTTTCCTCCTTTTTTCTTTTCTGGCTGAAACATTCATGTAGAAATAGCTGTGTGTGTAAAATTCCATCACTAATATTGAACTGTTTGTGCCCGTGCTTTTTCATTGCTAGCCACTCTAGACTACATTTTGCAACCGCTTGTTTGAAGAGATGGTCGTTACACTATTTTTTTAATGCAGAAACATTTTAAATTGGCTTATTCTAAATTGCTCATCAGAAATTCTATGTTGTGGAGGTGGGGGTCACAATCTAAAGAGAATTAAAAAGTCCCATGTTGGTCATTTAAAATTAATCCTTCAGTGAAGTAGGTGAGTGTGACTTCTTTGTGCAGCCTCCCCCTGCCCCCCCAAAACATAGCCCCCGGGCCTCCCGGTTCCTGCTGGTGCAAACACCCTGCACCCCGCAAACGGCTCCGAGCTTGGGGGCCCAAAGTTGAAGGCACTGGGTGTTTGCACACTTTATTAATACCTTCCTTACATGCCCTGGTGAGGAGAGGCACAATTTTGTGTCTTAAATTTCCAAACCACTAAATCCATTAGCATTCCGACGACCAAGCCTCTCGGGCCTTTTCCCTTTGCTGGGTGGATGGCCGTGGCTGCCGCAGGCTGAGCACTCGGCATTCTCATGTTTGTTCCTGCTCAGGGCGCAGAAGCCTGGGGTCCGCCCCCAGTTTTCTGAGCTCCCTCACACGTGGGAGTCGGGGGTTCCTGGGCAGCATGGGCAGAGTGGATGCCGAGTAAGGCTGCCAGCATCTCGGGTCCTGTCCTTTGGCCTGGCACGGCCCGGTCCTTACGGCCTGTAGACAGGTTCCACAGTGTCTAAAGCTGGCACACAGGCCCCCAAATGCAGACCATCTCCTGAAGCAAGGTGTTGCCTGGCCTAAGCAAGACCACTGTACGAATGACTGCAGCAGGTCGGCGGCGCTGTGTGCAGAGTTGCCAACCCGGCCTGTGTGTGCTTCCCCAGGGTCCTCCACCAGCAGCCTGGTCCCGGGCCCCGAGCCGGGCCCCCAGCCCACCCTGCACGTCCAGGCCCAGGCAAACAACAGCAACAACAAGACAGGCACCTTCACGGATGACCTGCACAAGCTGGTGGACGAGTGGACGAGCAAGACAGTGGGGGCCGCCCAGCTGAAGCCCTCGCTCAACCAACTGAAGCAGACGCAGAGGCTGCACGGCATGGAGGTCACGGCGGGCTGGCCCCCAGCCGCGAGCGAGCCACAGGCCGTAAGTGGGGCGCAGCGGGCGCGGGCTGCCCAGGCGGAAGGGGCGCAGGGGGAGGGGGGGGCGCCCCGCCGGCGTCCGGCAGTGCACAGGGCTGCCGTCTTGGGCTCTGTCGTGCAATGCGTCCCTGTGACGGCGCTGGGCCAGCTTCACCACCTGCCGGGAGGAGCGGTCCCGGCTCGGGCTTCAGGGGCCATCTGTGCAAGGTTGCGTCCCTTCTTCCTGCAATGTTTAGCACAGTCCACCGATGAACCCGTCTGGTCTGCGGGGTCTTTTTGTGAGTGCGGGAAGGTTCCCTATGACCTTTTGTTTTGAAAAATTTCAAACATACAGAAGTGCTGGAAATTGCACAGTGAACGTGCGTGTGCCCCCGCCCACACGCTGGTGGCTGACATTTTGCTGTGTTGCTCACACATCTCTCCATCCCCTGAGGGTAAGGTTTTCGTTACGGGCTCAATTTCTTTTGTACTTTCTGTGCCATTTGGGTTTTCTGTTTTTTCTTTCTGTTAAGCCCTGCTTTTCTAACATTTGGTAAATACCTAAATTTAAGTTTTCAAATTAATTGACATAAGCTGCTCATAACATCCTGTCTTCACAGTTTGTGGTGATGTTGTGTTTTTCGTTTCTGATGTTGGTGGCTTTTGCGCATATGCCCCTCCCTCCCTCTCCTGTGCAGCCTCCTTAGGGGCTCATAACCCTTATTAGGCTCCTCAAAGGACTCGTTTTGGCTCTGATACTTTTTATGTGTCATTAGTTTCTCCTTTTATTATCTCCTTCCATGTCTGGGCGGCTTTTGCTGTTCGAGAATGTTTGAGATGTGCAGGCCATTGATTTCCAGCCTTTCTTGTTTTTTAATACAGGTGTTCAACCTATAAAAATCACTCTCATGGTTTTATCTGAATACTAAAGGTTTTGATGATATATAGCATTTTCTTTAACCTTCAGTTCAAATTGTTTTGTAATTTCCACTGTGGTTTGAAGCAATATAATTATTAATTTCCTCATACTCTTTATTACTGCTCTTTAGCCTAACTGAACCGTGTAAGAGAACTAACTTTGGGTGTTTGCAGTTGTTTAAAATGTGCTGGGACTGGCTTTTCAGCCCAGTTGTCAGTCAGTCTTGTCCACTGCGGCCCTGATGCTCTCTGCACTCCTGCCGCGCACATGGTACCCGAGCCTCCCTGTGTCCTTCAAGTGGCCAGTGACAGCAGCTCTCTTCAGACAGCGGCAGCCCTGGGGCCCTAGTGCCTCAAACTCCCTCTCTGGTAACTTCTGTGATCAAGTTGGGAGTCCTCAGCCCAGCCCCCTGGCCCCGCGGGGCCCTCCCCCTGGGCCCGGGCAGGCGAGTCTCCCCTTCGCCGTCTGGACTCTCAGCAGGTGGGCTCTCATCCCCGCGCAGGCCGTACCCCATCTCACCAGCTCTCGCGAATCTCAGTGTTTGAGAGGCAGAGAGTCTTTTACTAAGATTTTTTTAAATATTTTTTATTTTTACTGTGGTAAATCTATACAACATAACATTCACCACTTCAGTTACTTTTAAGTGTGTAATTCAGTAGTACTCTGCATGTTCACAATGTTGTGCAGCCATCACACCATCCATTTCTAAAGCTTTCTCCATCCCAAATAGAAACCTCTAAGGAAAACACTCTCCAGTCCCTGTCTCTGGTGCCTCTGCTTATCCAGCCCCTATTAACTTCCATTCTACTTTCTATGGACAAGTGGCATCATGTAGTGTTTGCCCTTTCCTGTCTGGCTTATTTCACTCAGCATAATGTTTGCAATGTACAGCTGTGCCGCAGGTTGACTTTACTCTTTTGGGGGCTGAGAAGGAAACAGGGAACATAGTAGTATTGTAATAAACTTACGATGGTGAGCATTTTGTAACGTATCTGCATCTTGAATCACAATGTTGTACGCCTTAAACTAATTTAGTATTTTATGTCAACTACACTTCAATTAAAATTTAAAAATTTTCTTTTTCCCATTTTTAATTGCAAAATATATGACATAAAATTTTCCATCTTAGCCATTTTAAGTGCTCGTTTTAAGTGCATTAAGCATTAATATTGTTCAACCGTCATCCCCATAATTTTTTCAGCTTGCAAAACTGAAACTCTGTCCTCATTGAAAAAGAACTTTCCATCCCCCCCAACCCCATCAGTCCCTGGCAGCCACAATTCTACTTTCTGTCTGTATGGATTTGACTACTGTAGGTTCCTACAGAAGTGGAATACTACAATATTTGTCTTTTTGTGACTGGCTTATTTCACTTACCATAATGTCCTCAAGGTCATCCATGTTATAGCATGTGTCGAAATGTCCTTCTTTTTAAGGCTGGATGATATTCCAATGTATGCGCACACCGCATTATATCCATTTATCTACTGAAGGACACTTGGGTTGCTTCTACCTATGACCTATTGTGAGCAATGCTGCCATGAACTAGGTGTTCAAGTATCGCTTTGAGTCCCTGCTTTCAATTCCTTTGCAAGAAGACCCAGAAGCAGAATCACTGCATTGTATAGTAATTCTGTTTTTAACTTTTTGAGGAATTGCACACTGTTTTCCACAGTGGCTATGCCACTTTACATTTCTGCCAGCAGTGCACAAGGGTTCGTTTCTCTTCATTCTTGCCAACACTTTTTATTTTTTATTTTTTTTTAATAGTAGCCACCCTAATACCACTGTGGTATCTCACTGTGGTTTTGATTACTATTTCCCTAATGATCAGGGATGTGGAGCCTCTTTTCATGTGATTATTGGCCATTTGTAGATCTTCTTTAGAAAAACAGCAGTTCAAGTCCTTTGCCTATTTTTCTAATAGGTTGTTTGTTTTTGTTATTGAGTTTTAGGAGTTCTCTGTATTTTCTGGATTTTAATCCCTTATCAGATAATGTGATCTGCAAATACTTTTTCCCATTCTATGGACTGCCTTTTTACTCTGTGGACAGTGTCTTTTTTCTTTTAGATTTATTTATTTATTTGAGAGAGAAAAAACAAGTGGAAGGGAGGGGCAGAGGGAGATGGTGAAGCAGACTCCCTGCTGAGCAGGGCACCTGACATGGGGCTCGATCCCGGGACTCCAGGATCATGACCTGAGCCAAAGGCAGATACTTAACTGACTGAGCCACCCAGGCGCCCCTGGACCGTGTCTTTTGATGCACAAGTTTTTAATTTTCATGAAGACCAATTAATCTGTCTTTTCTTTTGTCGCCAGTCTCCTCAGTGTCAGAGCCAAGAAATTATTGCCAAATCCAATGTTGTGAAACTTTCCCCCTATTTCTTTCTAAGAGTTTAGTAATTTTAGCTCTTATGTTAGGCCTTTCATCCAGTTTAATTTCTATATATGGTATGAGGTAAGGGTTCAAGTATCATGCTTTTGCATGTGGATAACCAGTTTCCCCAGCACCATTTGTTGAAAAGGCTCTCCTTTCCCCCACCAAATGGACCTGGTACTCTTGTTGAATATGAATTGACCATATTTGCAAAGGTTTATTTCTTGGTGCTCTGTTCTCTTTCATTGGTATATATGTCTCTCCCTTTTCCAGTATCACATCATTTTGATTTCTGTAGCTTTGTAGTAAGTTTTGAAATCAAGAAGTGTGAGTCTTCCAACTTTAATTTTTCAAGATTGTTTTGGCTATTTGGGGTCCCTTCAGAATCCATATGAATTTTGGAATGGGTTTTTCTATTTCTTGAAAAAATGCCATTGGGAATTTAACAGTGATTGCAATGAATCTGGAGATCACTTTGGGTAGTACTGACAGTAACAGTGGAAGTCTTCCAATCCATGACCACAGGGTGTTTTTCCACTTATTATGTCTTAATTTTCTTTGGGAGTTGTGTGGCTTTCAGTGTGTAAGTCTTTCAACTCCTTAAAGTTATTCCTAAATATTTTATGATTTTTCTGCTATTGTAAATGTAACTGCTTTAATTTCCTTTCAGATTGTCACTGTTAGTGAATAGCAACGCAACTGATTTTGTAACCTGCAACTTTGCTGAATTCATGAATTAGCTCTGTGTGTGTGTGTGTCTGTGTGTGCACGTGCATTCTTTAGGGTTATCTACATGTAAGATTTTGTCATCTCTGACAGGGATCATTTTACTTCTTCCTTTCCAATTTGGATGCCTTTTTTTTCTTGCCTAATTTCTGTGGCTAGAACTTCTAGTATTATATTGAATAGAAGTGGCAAAAACAGGTATGCTTTTCTTGTTCTTTCTTGAAGGAAAAGCTTACAGACTTTCCCCATTGAGTATATAATGTTAGCTATGGGTTTTCTTATATGGTCTTTATCATATTGAGGGAGTTCTGTTCTGTTTGTAGTTTGTTGAATGCTTTTATTATGACAGAGAGTTGGATATTGTCAAATACTTTCTCTGCATTAAATGAGATGATTATAGGTTTCTTTATCCTTCCTCTTGTTAATGGTGTATTACATTGATCGATTTTCATGTTAAACCACCCTTGCATTAATTCCTGGGATAAAGCCTACCTGGTCATGGTATATATACTCCTGTTATGCTACTGGATTCAGCTTGCTAATATTTTATTGAGGATTTTTGCATAAATATTTATTGGGGTATTAATCTGTAATTTTCTTGTGATGTCTTTATCTGGCCTTGGTAGTAGGTTAATGCTGGCCACATAGAATGAGTTGGGAATTATTCCTATGTCTTCAACTCTTGGAAGAGTTTGAGAAGGAATGGTGTTAATTCTTTAAAAGTCTGGCTTCTCATTGTTGAGAGGTTTTTGATTACTAATTTAATCTCACTACATGTTGTAGGTCTGATTTTCCATTTCTTCTTGAGTCAGCTCTGGTAGTTTGTGTGTTTCTGGAGATTTTTCTATTTCATGTAAATTATCCAGTTTCGTTGCTAAAACTTTGTAAATTTGCTAATCTATTCAAAGAACTGACTTGTGGTTTCATTTGTAATTCATTTGCTTTATTTTTTCATTATGACTTCCTATTTTCTACTTTATTATGTAAAGTTAGATTATTGAT